CCCCCCCCGGCCTTTATGACTACTTATGGCGTAGATCACATCTCAGTTCTCCAATGGAACCACAGTCCAATCGATCCTCAGAACTCATGGTCCAAACTGTGAAAAACATCTTAAGAAATGCGACGAAAAGGGAGAAGATCCCTACCTTGGAATCCTATCGTACCAGACAGCACCAGTCAGCCACAACCTTAAGTCATCAGTAGAACTATTATCAATCAATCAATCAATCAATCAATCAATCAATCAATATTAAACAATCGTAAGTTCAAGACCACGTTACCAATGTCCTAACGAGCAAGAGGTGTACCAGCGACATCAGTTACGAGCTTCCTACTACATTCGCACTGCTGGACCGATCCTGAAGCCTCTGGAATCAGGTCAACCCATTAACATTGACGACCACCAAAGCCAGAGATGGGAACCCGGAAAAGTTTTCAAGACAGCAAAAGAGCCAAGAACATACATTGTAATAAAGCGATAGGACAGAAGCTGTTTACCGTCTTACTGGTGTACAACTAAAACCAAGCTTCACTCAGAAAAACGAAGCCAAAACACCAGTACAACCGCATCCTGAAACTGGAACACCRCAAGACAGCCCGCCTGCATCACCACAGAATAGCAGTCCTTACGTGTCCACCTCTGGGAGAATCTCAAAACCACCAAAAAAACTGGACATTTAATGAAGAGAATCTTGTTGTTGACAATTTGAACAATTGAACTGTGCCCTATGTTTTGTTTAGCACCACTTGTTTACWGTGTAACTAGCTTTAATGTGATGTCATTAGATCCCAAACTCCTACCCCCACCGGAACACGCGCCAGTACTTTCCCAACTCCCCATATATCGTATGACAGTAGTTTTCTGGGATTCTGAATTATTGAGGTTTGCATAAAACACGAGTAATTGAAAGTTGTTAAGAGAATGAATACTGAAAGTATTGTATCAGGGGTTACGTGCACTTTAATAAGATCCATTTGTCACTAGCTTCAGTGATCTTCTCATTGCCGGTTCACCGTTTTTTTAATGATTGACGAAAGACTAGTTACTTTGTTTACTTACTCTTCTCTGGGTTTCTCTTCCCATGGCCATCTTCACGGGCTACTATCTCCAAAGACAAACACAGTGCAATCACGATGAGACAAATAACCATTTGAGACTTCATTGCAATTTTTCGAGTTCTACAAATTCATGTATACGAGATTAGGATGATGAAGTATTCCAGCACTTCATTCTTAGGGGTTTATAGGGCTTTTTTAGGGCTTATCATTGAGCACCATATTTGGTAAAAATTACTAACTTACAACTGTACAATGGACAAATGTACTTTTGTCAAAGTTTTTCGAAATCAAATAATCGAAAAATCAAATAACTGCTTTTTTTGTTTGTTTGTTTTTTTCTTTGACACTTGGTATATAACAAAGCAAAGCCCCTTCCCTCCCCTCTTCCCTATGGGAAAAAAAAAAACGGGGAGAGAGCTCCATCTCTGGTTTTCCCCGTAGGGGGAGGGGGGGTGGGAAGCGGCTGTACACAGGCTACAAAATGAGGAATAATGCAACACGCATATATTAAGCCTTTACCGTTATTAGCGGGAAA